CCACTCCACCGGCGTCCACAACATGTTCGAGGAAATGCCGGAGAGGTAAGAAAAAATTCCGTTTCAACCAGTGTGTGCCGAATTTGGTTCTTTGCTTAGTGTTTTGGCCTTTGGATTTTGTAGTTATGTTCATACATCATATGCGGATTTGCTGGAGGAGAACGAGGTGAATATATGAGTGCTCCACTTGACACATTCAATTCGGGCATGGGAGCTGAGGTCGAAGCCGAGGTGGAAGAGGGGAGTAACGACAATGATGATGTAGAAGAGTTTGAGGAGGAGTTCGATGCTAGCCAAGCAAAATTTGGAAAATGAACCGAGAATTACACGGGGATGTAGGATCTTTGTTTGGTGAGAGCTTGGGAGAGTGTGTCACTTGATGCGGTGGCCGACAAAGAATGTTGACAATGCATTGAGGACAAGTAGCATAAGCTCATGTCGATCCCATTCAGCCGCTCATTGAAATCACTCCAACGCTGGTGGGATGTGATAAACGACTCAGAGCAAACCCTGGCCTTCGTATTTTGATTTTGCCCCAACTATGGCAGCTCGGAGGGGAGCCGCCGCGCAACAAGGACCAGGCGAGATAGAAAGTTACACTTCCTTGGATGGATAGCGGTGGCCCTGGGCCTAGGATGTCTGCCTTTGAATTGGAAAGACGGGTACATATTATTTTTACTTTTTCTATAAGAGCCCAAGATCTCTATTCCGGGGGAGTACATAGTCGTTTCATTTCATTTCGTTTCGTTTCCCATCGATCAAAGCCTCCTCCCCACCTATGTCTCCTACCCTCCCCACCAATTTTTTCCTATCCAACCTCAAACAGGTGGACAAAAAATCCAAAAAAAAACCATGCACATCTCCCTCCCAAATCCTTAGCTAAGCCATCGCTCATCTTCCCTCCACCTACAGCCGCCGCCGCACGCCCACACCCCGCACCACATGCCATCTATCATTGTCGCCACGGATTTCTCCCCGTGCCCCAACCTCCAAGTTCTAGAAGGAGCATCCAGACCTTCAACCTTGCGAGCACCCACGAACGGCGGTATAGCAACCACCAACACCCAAGACGGCGGCCATGGCATCGGCCTTGAACCCTCTCCCTCATGAACAAATAGGAAGCGGTGGCTGGAATTTTGGACCGGCCACGACTCTGGAGAACCAGCAAGTGAAAACAACGGCGCCTTGATTTGTGCAGGTATTGTCCATCTCACTTGGGCAAGGTCGTCCTGACACCACTCTCCCCATCCCCTCACTCCCTGTCTGCCACGTCTGTTGCTGGCTTCCTCCACCATGCGGCGTGCCACCCAGTGCACCTCTCCCTCCCTCGGCGGTGAGAACAGGCGTGGGTGCCCTACCCGTTCGGCCTGCAGCCCCTGCCCATGCCATGGAGGAGCTCTAGGTCAAACTCTCTACTCGCATTGCTCAACTGCTCTGGTGCTCCTATTTTTCTCCAAATGGATCGGATAACCTCTAATTTTATCTCCTGGGTCCTCACAAATATACTTGTCGAGCTCAACTTAAATTGACAGAGTGCCTAACGACAGAGTAAAACTACCAATGATATGATATATTTGAATGCAATCATCTCTACTCCTAAAGGGGAAGTACGTAGTTGTTTCGTTTCATTTGGTTTCATTACCCATCGATCGAAGCCTCCTCCTATGTATGTCTCCCCCCTCCCCCGATTTTTTCCTGACCAACATAAAAAAATGCACATCTTCCTCCCCAATCCCAAGCTAAGCCATCGCTCATCTCCCCTCCACCGGCAACTGCCGCACGCCTGCACCCCACACCACGGCCCCTCTATCATCGCGGCCACTGATTTCTCCCTATGCCCCTACCTCCATGATCCAGAAGGAGCATCTAGGCCTTCAACCTTGTTGTCGCTATCAAAACCGGTGGATCTCGGGTAGGGGGTCCCGAGCTGTGGATCTAGGATCAATGGGGAACAAGGGACGAAGAACATGGTGTTTACCCAGGTTCGGGCCCTCTCTAAGAGGTAACCCTACGTCCTGCTTGATTGTATTCGATGTGTGTGGTATGGTTATAGAGTCGATCTACCTCGAGATCAGGCGAGCTAAACCCTAGGTCGATGGGGTGTTGGATGTTGCTCTAGCCCTAAGACTAGAACCCTCTGGTTTATATAGACACTAGTAGG